ACCTTGCCGTGGCTTTTTTGACCGGCTTGAAACTGCCTTAGTGTGGGGTGAACATCATGGGGGATCAGAAGCCATAGACACGTTTGCTGTGGCTCCACGTCTACGTTCTTTTACAAAGATATTCGATGCCCCATTTTTGCTCCCAGCGAATCTCGTCGAGTTCGACGATGGCAATTTGTTCAATGAAAATACGTGTACCACCCTCCGTCAACTTGTCAATATCCAAACTCTTTCACTCTCGTGTAGCCCGTATTCAAGTGAATCACCCCGAATTCGCCTCCCGAGGGCCTCTCAGCTCGAATTGAGAGTGGTTGGACAGACTACGGGCCTCACATCCGTGACGTACAATAACTTTGACCTTCCATCGCTCACACACCTCAAAGTCATGTTCTACTCCTTGCAACTGATGGTCCCTCGACCAGTCCCTCAGCCTATGCACTCGTCCACGGTAACTCGCCTTACTGTGACATGGTCCCTGTCCCACCCTCACAAATTCTCGGCGGTGGATATTGAGCAACATCTTTCGTCATACAATACGCTGAGGAACCTCTGTTGTTTTACCATCAAGGACTGCCCAAATATCCGCCCCTTCCTACTTGCATTGTCCATCCGTTCCGGAAAGAACGTGATATTTCCGAAGCTGTCCAAAGTTGATATTATCTGGGAACGTGACGCCGGCTTATCTGAGGACGCACTTGACATGCATATTCTAGTAGAGCTCATCCAATCTCGAAGAGATCAGGGGGCTCTGCGAGAATTCAACATGAAGTGGGAACGGAGACTTGTCAACGATGATGCCGATACACGCAGTCGATGGCAACAAGTCAGTGCGCCAGGTGGAGGAATACAAATCTCAGCGTCAATCAAAGGTGAGTACAGTTTTCCTTTTCTTATCTCTTCCAACTAAAAAAAGCCTCAGGCCTTGAGGCGAATTCATTGTAAACGGGCTGGGGGAAAGGCCGTCCTTCATGTAAGTATTGCAATGTTTACCGATCTAATTTCGATCCTACTATCCTTGATTATCTGAAGGAAGCTTTGCTTGACCCACTGGATCGTGCGCATGCAACATATCTGTAATGGATGCGAATTTCTATGGAGTTAGCATTGAAATCTTTAGCTAGGTTTACGTAGTATGCTAGGTGAAGCTACATATGCGCCGTTTTCGGTTCTTTTCTCATCTTAACCTGATTTTCTACCTCTGCGTCTTGTCTTTTACCTACTCTATTCTGGAAATATACACCGGAATTGTACTCAGTCTCCGGTTGAAGACCCTCCTCGTGGCAGACCCTTTACAATATCATAGGCAAGGGAATGTGATCCACTGTGTTTCATTAGGTCTTTGCTTGTTAACGTCGGTTATAAATTGTGCAGACCAATTACGCTTCCTTCGAACAGGAGAATGCATGGTTTGTTCGGAAAGCTGACTTCACAATCCAGAAATGTAGCCAGTTGGCATTCTTGATTGATGTACTGAAAGTGGAGTATCGTTGACCCAGTTGGCCACCGGTGATGACGACTATAAGCTTTTCTGGACGAGTCGTGGCCCTTATCTCTGGGCTATGGTCTTCGCATCGGAGTCGGATACATGATAGTATCTGTGTAATATGCGACTAACGAGGTGGTCTAGCTCGTCTTTTCCAAATCCGATACGAGCTGACATTTTTGCGCCGTCCCAGTCTCAAGCTCAACTTCTGTGGAGAAGCGTGATCCCATAACGGATATATGGCCGTATTTTATGATAGGGATGGTAATAGACGGCTTTGTAAAGCATGTTGTTCATGGAGTTCGAGCCTGGTTAGACGTGTAATAAAAGGTACGAATGTAGAGATGAGCCCTTACAAAAAATAACGACCCTTGTCCTTCAAATAATATCAGCAATATGGCAGTTCAGAAGAGGGATAGATGATACTTCGCAAAAGAGAACGATCACTGCCCTTATGTCTGTCTTGAGGTTTATGCCTGTCGTTCGATATAGAGGTTGATGCCGAGGTTTGAGTCGTAGGAAAAGAATACCAGGATTAGGGTAGCAGGTGTGCTATATTCACGTGCCGCTTGAAGAACGAAGTCGTATTCATAATGTCTGGGATGACTTTTCAAGCTGGTATGCGCCGATCCTGAGGCTAGCGTTGACATTGTACTGCTGAGCGGAAGCTATACAAATTAGAAGTAGAGTCTCCTGGAGGGAGGAGAGCGGCATGGTCCTACAGATGAGAGAGTGAGAGGCAGAGAGACCTTCGTGCTGCGACAAGAAAAGATAAAAAGTGCAGATATTCTGATTCCTGGAATGATCAAGTAGTCACAGTTTCTGAGGATATTACCTCTAGGATTGTGGACCTTGTTAAACTGAAAACAGCGGACAGATATCATTACGCAACTGGGTATCTGTAAAGGCATAAAGGCAATAACCTACTTGGAGTTGCCAGCTTTGAAAGACGTCACTGCAGAAACTGTTGTGGCTCTGAATGGTTAGCACGGGAGCCTAAATATTTCTCTATCCCGCTAAGCCCTTATTTCGTACTATGAGAAATTGATGGGAAGGTACCACAATTTCAGTCGGTCAGAAGCAATTTGACTGACGATATATTCAGGATTGATTCAGGACCGATAGAGGCTTCCATAATAAATCACAGCGGGATGGCTGCGTGAAGATTTGGCCCGTTGAGAGACCAAGTCAGTTGCCCAAAAGATCAAAGATTAGTCGGGGTGGAATGTGTCTTGGGCAGTCGGCCCGACCACCGGGGTTATTTTCAGGACCACGTGAATATCTGTTCCCACGATCCCTTCGTTTGTGAACCATGATCATGGTTTCGAATGATACATTGCTCTCGCTTTCGCCCGTCGTCGGACCCTTTTATATGACTCCTACGCGACCATTTTCTAATGCTCGTTGCCGAACAATGGCCCTAGGAAGAGAAACAACGCCAAGAAATCACCTGAAAGTAGAGTTTTGGAGCGCGAAAGGTACGCGACGTGCCATGCTTTTCTATTCGTTTTCTAATCTATTTGATAGTGTAGCACTTGTTCCACGAGTTCATTAACGCCCTACTCACATCTCAGGGCAGAATTGTCCGCAGCGTAGTCAGCTTCTCCGCGAAGAACATTCAGGCGCAGCAAACATTGTCTAGGTCTCCAATAGCTCGTAGATTCTGGATAGAGGAGGGCAAATTCGACATCGATCGATTTGTCCGATGCGGGATCCGATGACATGAGGCTCAGATGTATCGACTCTTCTGGGGACGCTGGTGCTCTGGTGTGTAAAATTTCGCCCAGTCATACCATTCTATGCTGACATCTCTAGGCTAGCACAGGCTAGGCGGCATTGAGCTCCCCAGGTACCCCTTCTGTGTCACGCCAGCGATGGCAAGTCCTCACGTTGATGCGACTCGGAGGACTGGAACGAGCATGAGGCAATCAGACCATCAACGCATGTTCACCGTCACCACGCCATCAGTACTTTCTTCCTTCATTACTTCCACTATGGCGTCCCAAGATCTCGCAGCAGTATATCATCCTACCTTCAACAATCCAGACGCCCATGCCGTCTTATCCTCTCTCGACGGCACCCTATACCGTCTCTCACCGTCAGTGTTGCGACGGACCACCAGCTTCTTCGCGTCCCCGTCTTTCACATTCGAGCCAAACAACAAGCCCATTCCCATCCACGAACATGACGTTGTCCTCGAGCGACTGCTGCGCATCATCAGCGGTCTCGCAATCCCTCCGTGGCCCACGTTTGATGACCTCGAGGGTGTGCTGAACCTAGCTGGGACTTGGGGAGCCAGGGGTGCGGTAGACGTTGTGCGTGCTTCGATCACCGCCCCGATCTTTCTAGAGGAGCCGCTGAGGGTGTATGCAATAGCGACGCGGTTCGGATGGGACGATGAAGCGGAGCTGGCGTCGAAGCATACGCTGGAGTTGTCCCTGCACGAGGAAGCGCTCCGGCGCATCCCGACGCGTCCGCTTGTGAGATTGTTCAAGTTCCATCGGAAACGGCGGGATGAGTTCCGGGTAGGTATGCAGGGCGAGGGGCATGTGGCGTGTGCCGGGTGTGGGAAAGCGGTGGATGGGGAGGCGTGGGCTGCGCTGGTGTGGAAGATGTTCTGGGAGATGGACGCGAGGCCGTCTGGGGAGAGGCTGTGTTCGTTGGAAATCGAGGAGTGGGAGGAGATGGAGAGGTGTTTGGGGGAGAAGTGTGGTGGGTGTGGGAGGGCGGTGTATGAGAGGTTGGAGGTCTTGGAGAGGGTGAGGAAGTGTTTGGCTGAGTTGCCGGATACTGTCTAGAGTTTAGGTAAGTGAAATTTGGTATCCTGTTGTTTCGCTAATGGTATATTTTCATAGCATACGCCCTGGGGTTGCCAAAGGATCGTCCAAGCTTACAGGTGTGCAGTACTTTACTCGTTGCTGGTGCCAAGCCTGAAAACGATCTATAGTTTCTCATCAGCGTGTCATTGCTTGCTTTTGCGAAAAGGTGACCATTACGGAACCTATCATACCTCTGTAGACATCATTGATTTACGACGTCTACTAGCACCCGTGATATTGTAAATTTCAATCCTGTATTGTATTGGTATCCTGCACGCCATATGGGACCCAGCTTCCCGTACCAATGTCAGTGCCAAAGCTAGTTTGTCGGGAAGCAATTTGTGTGGGATGCCCAGCGAGCCAAGGGATGGTCCGCTACGGCTTGGCTAGAGATTACTCATCGGTCGACGCACGTTTACCTCAGATAGCCTGCTTGGGCCATTGCTTTGTCTTCGCCATTCTGCGCGCGTCCAAAGTCTATCTGCATCCAGACTTTGTCAGGAGAGCAACACGCCCCTGTACTCTATAAGCAATCATAGTAAGCGCATGGACGTAGCAGCTCCGGTGGGGCAATCTCAGGCGTTTGTTGATACTTTCCCCTTCGTATGTTGATGAAGCCTGCTTGCCTTCATTTTACACTGGCATTCGCAGAACATGACCTTGCGGTACGTATGGGTACGTACCTGATCAGTTACAAAGCATTAGTGGTGCAACGGTTAACATGTGTTCTTTCTCTCGAAATCTCCGAACACTGGCGGTCGCGTTCAGGGTTCGATTCCCCGTTGATGCAATAAATGAGGTACTTGACAATTTTATTGGGTTGTCATTCGTGAGTGCACTGTGCTTAAGTAAGGATCATGTCATGAATCTACATTTTAGTAATTACAGTCACGATGTAGCAGTACCGTTCAGCTTCGCAACTGAGAAAAGGTGCTTCAGGGTGAGAGGATGAATAGTACGATTCGGGCACGGGCTGCTTCTTTGATGCTTGGGCCCAGGGAGCGGGCTCGTTGTTCGGTGAAGCCAGGTCTCTCAAGTCACTAGAACTTCGGGTCAGTGGAATCTTTCTCCGTTGACTTCATCTATACCGGTTAACTTGCTAACTTCATCTTGGACCAAACAGAATCTTACGTATTCCTGATGCGCAGTATGCCTTCGCTGGGGATGCTTGGGGAGTCGATCAGGTGCCTCTCAGATTAAAACATCGCCGAACTTGTCCTTCTATATAGCTTCTGCTTCTCATCCAGCCAGCATTTTTTTTTGGTACATTAACTTACCTCGTAATCAGAATGAATATCATTCTTATGGTGCAGTTTTATCCATTCCTATCATATTGTAACTGTAGCTGATTTGTGGTCGTGAAATAATTTCCTTGAGGCATTTTGCGCTAGGACATGGCCTGAGATAGTGCATCAGTTGACTGGACGGGCTGCTTGGCCCAGATCATCGTCTTTGCCATTCTGCGCAACTGCTATCCGACCTCAAGTGTGCTGGCGTAATTCGATTAGCCGGCAGACTGATGGCCTTGTGATCACCATGTTGTGCGGCTCGTATTTATCCTGAGTCAATGTGCGGAACCTTGTTGGATCTTGGGCGAGCAACGCGTCCTGTAAGCAACCTCAGGAACGTATATGCATCTTCCTTATACTTTGACAACGCAGTTCTGTGCAAGACGTATAGATAAAAATTGGGTGCATTAGTGGTGTAATGGTTAACATATGGTCTTCCCATCATTCTGTCAGAGCATCTGTTGGCCGCGTTCGGGGTTCGCCTCCCCGTTGATGCAATAGCTGGGTAGAGATACTTTTTATTGCATTCGTGAATGGTGATCGGGTCAGTGATGTCTGTCTTGAGTCTTGACTTTGTATCAATATCGGTCAAGTTAGCTTCATCACGGGCCGGGAGGATTTCCATTTTTTTCTGATGCCTTGCCATTGCGCTTTCCTTGGATTTGGCGGGTTTCGTCAGTATGTATGTGTTTTGATACACTTTGGTCGACCTGGTGTCTGTCAGATTAAGACATTAATTCTAGATTTGCCATCCTGTAAATGTGCTGCTTGTCAGCCAGCATCGTTTTTCTGTATAATAAGTCACCTCAGAACTCGAACGCATGTCCTTCTGGTGCTATGGCGACAGGGTCCGACTTTCCCAAAGTCCTTGACTCAGAGCGCCGTGTCGATTTCGATGCTCTCGAATTCTGGTATTTGAGCTTCAGTGCGCTATAGTGTCCTACACTAAGCTGATGCTGCAGTGCCTTCCACTTTTTGGAGCACACGAGAGTGAAATGGCAGTCGATATTAACACTCCCAGTAGAATATAGGCTTAATACGACGCACATTTGTCACGCACGCAAACGAAATTTCGAGTTGTTACCAGTTCCCTGTTATGGTGACAAGGACTCCATTCACCAAATAATCCTAATTGTCCTTGCTGATGCCATCTAGCATCAAGAATCGTACGCCCAGCGGCGAGCTACCTCCATCGCATAGAAAGACAGTGATACCATGCAACCAGAGGGGATTTATCAAATCCCTGGGTAATGTCGAAGCTAGCCCGACTGATATGGATACAAAGTACGGACAGATACTACCGTGTGACTAGACGGCCCGGCTTCCATAAAAAACGACTCGGAGCCCGATCCCAAGCCTTAGCTTGGCTTTGGTCGTTACCCAGAGCAAGGAATCAAACACCGCAGCGACTAGCTACCTCAATTGCATTGACGCTGTGTTACCAGCAAAATTTTGTCGAATCCCGTGGTAGTGATGAAGCTAGCCTGACTGATATGGATATAAAGCCAGGACAGATCCCACTGACCAGGCAGCCCGGCTTCCCCAAGCAACGAGCCCGATCTCCGAGTGGCGTCAAGGAAGCAGTCCGTGTCCGAATCCCGCCCGCTGAGATACAGCCCGAGACTTCGTCGCTTCGCTTTGCTATCGTGGATCATCGAAGCTGCGGATTTGCAAAGAGAAGCTCATTGGTACGTTATAGTAGTCAATAGGGCAACTGCTCGCCCTGCATCCAGTTTCAGGTAGAGTCCAGTCCCGCACAGGCTTCTGGCAACTCTGATGGGAACAGTGAACTTTGCGTTCGTATGTTCGTGGCGTTTGCGTTGTTCTTGCGTGAGAAACTTTGCGTGGATGTGCACACTTGTGCTTGCATGCGTAACGGAGGTACGTTGTTTACTGTTTTGTTTATGATACATGATTGGACTTGTATTCTGCTGATAGTGTTGATTTTCGACTAGCATATTATTCTCGCACTCGGGTGTTCCATGAAGCGGAAGCCAGTATCAGCCGCTGCAGAGGTCGACAATACAAGAATCAGATTCAAGATCTGAGTCATAGCAAAACAAACTGGAGTAGACGACCGGTCGGACGCTCTCCGGGGCAACCGGACCCTGCGTCAGCGCTACATACGGACTCACTGCTCGGTTCTAATCTCACAGGTACTCAGAAGGTACTAATGCTAACACAAGAATAGTTGGCACTGACTCAGGCCCACAAAGGGGACTGGACTCGGATGCAATCCTCTTCCTTATGAGTTTCCGGCATGTATTTTATGTACGTCGGGTCTTTCGGCGTAGGATGTAACAGAGACCATAATATTCATATGCTGTCAATCTTCCTCAAACCACTAGAGCGCAGAGATACATACGGTACAGGGGGCTACGGTCTCGAGCACTTTACCCAGACAGTTGAGGCCTCACTACGGTGAATGGAGCTCGCCGAAGTTCTAACTACATGCAGCAAGACCACGGGCGAGCTCTGGTGCTGAGGTCCGGACTCGAGCTGAGCATGATCATCAAGCTCTGCAAACTCCTCGGATGTCCGCGCGATTGGCCATACATAACTTCCACCCACGTACACTTTCGCGGGAGAAGCTGTGCTTTTCTTAGAGAAAGGGGGAAGAATAATATTAGCATAACCGGTTTGGGGTATGACCGCCCGCGATGTAAGTCCGTCGGTAGAGTATCGGGCCATATGGCTGTGATTGAGTCTCCATGCTGATATTCTCACGTATAACGGGTGCGCATGGAACGATTGAATTAGCACCGGAAGAGCAGCTTTAAGCGCGGGAGAAAATTCATGGGCGCCGTCAGATTCGTATGTCAACGTAACTAATTGTACGTGATTTGGTTAAAATCCGTGACTTGCGTACATCGATGACAGGGACGAGCATAAACGGACTTGGCGTAGGAGTTTTGTACAAAGGCGGAATTGGGACGATCACATGATGGGGTTACAGCAAATTAGGTATGTAAGAGTTTTTCCGGTGCCCGGTGGGTTGTCTTTGCCCCATCTGGCTGACGCATCCATAACAGACTCCGATGCCTTACTTTCAATAACCGGAATCTATGCGGAATATTGATGGATTTCCGTAGGGGACGCGCCTTTCGGTCCGGTACTTGATTGAAGGCTCTATTCTGAATGAAATCACCTGACAGTGAATTGCCCTACTTATAGATCTCGTGTGCTGTGCAATGTTCTATGGATGCAAGAAAGTCTCGAAGAGTCCGATACATGCTCTTATTTTTTTATTCAGCTGTTCGAATGGAAATCTAGTACGATCTTCAAGATGTAAACGTTCTTGTTCATAGTAGCAACGACGGGATCGCTTATTAGTGGTTCTTTTCGGTGAGTAGATCATTGGACCTCGGGTAGGCCATGGGCATTAGAATCACGAGCTGCACCCAGAAGCAGTGCGTAATAAACAGGAGAGAAGCAGCCCTGTGTTGGCCCTGTTGAGTTGTTGCTGGCCTATCCCGAGACATGAGTCAGGACAAGGTAACAGTCATATTTGGTATTTCTGAATGACAACATAGACTCGTAAAATGATTGAATAGTCGCGCATAACCGTGAACCCGGGAGCTATGCGCCGCACTTTGTGAAGATGATCATTTCATGGAGGACGGTGAAGGCATGTTCTTGACGAGCATAGTTCAAGTCAAACCTAGTTGACTAAAGCAAGTTGTAGGGGGCACAGACGAACCTACCCTCATCGATTGACTGGACGGTCTCTAACACCTCGGTGGATTTACGCAACTCGGCGACGTCTAATATTTGAGCGTCTCATAGCGCTGACATTTATTCGTCATTCGGTTTTTCTGTTGCTTACGTGTTACCTACTCCCGAGGAGATTTCGTTGCGACTTGTATATCGAGTATAAGGCTATATACTTCACAGTTAGTCCTTATGTGGCGTATGCCACTGATGTAAGCTACTTTTGCCACATACTTCGTCTGGGAAACGGACCCGCGCTTAGCGCTTCCCATTGTAACAGTATAGCGCCATAGAATTAGTCAGTACCCGTGTCGTCAGGGTCCAGTCGGGTTTGAGGCTTGAGCCAAAACTGACGAATATTAATCATTTTCGGTACAATCCGCCGCGCCCTAACCTCCTATATGTGACCATCAAGCGGCAAGCCACCTACAGACTACAGTGATTGTAAACTAGTATATTGATGATGTACTAGTATGACGAGCGTTGTTGAATGCCATCTAGGCACAATTGAAACAACGAAATCTCAGCACTTACATGCAAATATCTGTGCATGTGACGGATCGATAGCCGGCAGAGGCAGAGGTGACAAGCTTATACGCTCAAGGAGGACGTTATAGTTGACAATGAACATCAGGTTTATAAATAGACAGCGGGCGACTCGAATCGAAATATCGGCTCTGAGATAGAGATAGAATATGCGAGCACCCGAGATGTTCCGCTGATAACCTGATAGCTGAAACTGGATAGTGCAAACGCCTCTTGCGTGACTATTACTATCTGTTCTCCCTAAGGAAAGACCGTGTCTTCAAAAGAGTTTACAAGAACACGCACGAGGTCGTGGTGTATCAGGGACATATGTCCCAAAGTCTCGTCTGATTGGCCCCGCTATTGCCGGTAAATTGTTCAAGAAAGAGTTATTCCGATTGGTGGAGCTCTCAGCCGTAAGCTTGGACTGCACCATCACAGCGCTCGTCTGATTAACCTCGTGCTCACATCCATCCCTGAGCATTACCGAACCATGGACGTCATACTGTCCGACAAGAAAGATGGCATCAAATTAAGATGAGCTTCAAATGCAGATCTGTAATGTGCAGTGAAACATGTTTCAGACCAGCGAAGACGGATAGGTACGAGGATAACACGATTATCAACCACACACATTTGTCGAACAAAATCAACAAGACATGTCCGTCAAACGCAGAGAAATATTTGCTGGATTAAACAGTACGATCAAAGATGAGAGTGCGGTTATTCAGCAAAGTGCTCCCTTGCTTGCATGATTGTATCCAAGAAGTTCTTCGACTGGCGAACCAGGTCAATACCACCCTTTGATAAAATCATCAGCCGCTCCGAGGCCCGATTTGACGAAATTCTGAGTCACGTAAGGGTGCCATTCCAACGGATAAAAAGCTGCAATCCCAATCAAGGGTCTATCCGTCCAATGACATTGCGCATCATTTCATTCGCTCCAGCATCGCACCGGCGACGTTACGTTTTAATCCAGAAGTGAATAGCAGTGTGGCAGTGTATTTTGTACTGCACGTGAGATGGTAGCAAACTTTTACCGGAAGCGATCATTGGTCAATCACTATCATTTCACCGTCCAATACAGACGTTCACATCCTACTGGTGCTGCTCGCACAACTTTGATTTTCTCTGCGTAGATCTTCAGCTGACCGCCTAAGGCTAACGCCACCAGCTGATAGGGCTAGACCTTTCATATTCCCTTACTCGGCCGCGGCCAACTGGTTAGCGACATGTAATTCTCTGTCCGCAGCTCACCAGA